AGTACACACATTAGATATCAAACATGTCAACATGTCTTCCCTGATCAACTGTATCTCAGGTAAGCGCTGAAACATGTCAATTAGATTTTCTGTGGAGCTATTCCTTTAATCTCACCAACAAATTATTTTGCAGACCACGCGAGACTCGCAGATGAACCCACCTTGTGCAGACCTCTATTACAAAGGCTATCCCTTTGTGATCTAACAGTGGAGTCAACCACTGTAGTGGCTGAGGGGGACTTATCTTCTACAGAAAATCTCCCTACAGTGGGTGATGCAAATGTTAGCTTGTTGAGGCATCACTGTTGTTGAGCTGTCACAGATACCCCAGCTAAAGATACAATTGCACTGCACGTGAACTTTCATTCAAGATTGGAGGTTGAAGTAGATCTCCATAATGTTATTACATACCATTATATCATATACATTTATACTATTTGCTCATAGTTCTCCCCCCAAAATAATATTACCAACACCTAAACAGGTCATTCTCCAGAATCTGTACAATTAGTCTTACAGTGACCCCTCTCCAGGATTCCGCTGTGTCTTTGCCCTTTCCCTAGCTCTTCTTTCATTTACACCAACTCAAACTGAACAGTATCCTTCTTCTTTCTCCTGCTTAATTTTTTACCTATGCAAGAAACATAACTTCCCCCATGACTATTATCACCTCTCTATAATGAGTGCAACCACTTCTAGCCTAAATTCTGATCTTTCAGCAATTCTGCTTGTCTGGTTTTTCCTGGCTTGCTAAGAAGCACAATCATCAATAAGGGCGCCTCTTTTCCACAGGCAATTGTTACTGTATTGTAAATACACTGGCTGAGGAGATGCCAAACACATTTGTTTTGCACATAGTCTACACAGTAAATATGGGTAAATTTCATAAGTTATGCTGTAGACACTGAAAGCTTCAAGGCAACAGTGTTTGGTTTCATGAAACTACCCTTTCTTTTCTTGACGCGCTCTACTTGTCTCCAAACTAGTTCAACAATCAGCCTGCAGTTCTTTAACATCTCAGTGAATAACTGAGAGGAAAGATCTGATCTGTCTTTCTCTTCTGCTACATATAAATCTCCCAAAACCTGCTCACTCAATCCCTACCCTTCCACCATTTTCCACAAACCATCCATTTGACCTTTGTAGATCATTTCCGACCATCCCAAAACGCATCTCACCAACATGCCAAGTTCCATCCACCCTCAAACAGGCATTCATTAGCCAACAAAGTGAGAAGGCCACCTTCAGGTTTGCCCATGTGAAACACAACAAACCTGATATCAGAAACAGCATAAAGTCACTGAATGGCTGTCCTCATATCTGCAACAGAAGGATATTCCAGACAGTCTGGGTACAAAGCTGGTCAACCTCCTGGCAGTCACTGAAGCCATTTAAACCATGACCTCTGTCCTCAACTCGCCTGACTTTTTGGCTGCCTTTAAAACTGTGAATCACCAGATGATCATTGCTACACTGTTTTACAACAGACCTGTGCTCCATTTTGGTTCATCTTGTGGGATGGTTCAAGTAGCACAGTGAAGGTTAATTTTGTTAGCACAAAACCTAACCAGTGTTCCTCAGGGTCCACTGTTGTTTTTCATGTAGGCCTACTAGGTCTGCACGTGGTGACAGGTAACCAAGTTCCCACCGTTAACACCCCCCAGTAACAGTAAACATTAGAGATGGAAGGATCGATCGGCCGATTCTGAGAGCTGATCAGTGGCATAAAACATACGTGGCATATTTAAGGATTGCTGCAGCCTTGCGCAAGGCCGCTTGGTCACAGAACCCTGTAGTTCCTTGTTCAAACGCTAGACGGAATTACAGACAATTCGACTTCAACTACGGGACTAAAATCCTATTCACAGAACTCCGTTGACGTAATTGCAGCTCGAACAGCTGGTTCCATTGACTTACATTAAAAGTAAAGTATGTTTTGTCCTTCTCCTGTAATGTTATCATTTTGGAGGTTTTACTAGGTTTTCTACCGACAACAGCGATTTGTTGCGGCAGAAACGCACCAGTTGAACTACGTTGGTTGAGCGCGCTCAGTGCTTCAGGCTGATTTTAGGTCGCCTCCATCATTCAACACAGAAAACTACCCATTTTCTTTGGATATTTTTGAATATAAAACAAAACAGATTAACCATTTACCATGGTTACTTTCCACACGGTTATCCAAATAAGAGGATTCTGTTACCAGCACAGCCTGCAAAGGCTGGATAAAATATTGAAATCCTTGCTATATGGTCTTTTAAAGCTGAGTTATGGTTACAAACAACAAATCCAAGAACAATTCAAGAGGTTGTTCCAATACCAACTTATTATATATGAAAAATGTCACAGTTATTGGAATTACAAATGATCAGTACTCAATCCGTCCTTATTGTGGCTGCCAAAACCCATAAAAGTAGGCCAGTTATATTTCATTCTCTTATGATTTAGCAATTCCAGATTTTCCACCAGCATGTAACCTATGATTCAGACATGCTGCTTGTATCTGTTTGTCTTCATCTTTTTCTTTTTTCCCCCTTTTGAAACGATCTTATGAATACACGACTCACGAGCCAGCGGCCCAACACTGCACGCTACTTAATTTGTCAAACAGTCATTAGCTGCCAAATGACTTTGTCTAAATGTAACTGTATATCAGCTTCATGTTTTAGTGTTGTGCTAAATATTCCTCATGCGGGACTTAGAGGGCATTGGAGATTGCTGAACCTTTAATTATCTTAAGCGGAGTCTGTGATTATAACTCATTCAAAGAAGTTTAATGAGCACATAGTGACCAAGACTTCAATTTGACCTGGTCTTTATATAGCACTCAGTTGTTCAGTTCCCTTGACTACTGTTGAACATAAAGTTATAATTGAGCTGATGTTGGCTGCAAACGTAAGGCTACTGAGAAAATTCAGCCAGATGTGAACTGCCACAGTGATCATGATAAAAAAAATAAATAATCAAGCTAGCATGAATCCCACCAATCATCTGCATCTTTAAATTCTTACCAGAGAGCACATTACTTCACTTCAGATCTGACAGAATGACAAAAAGCGTGACTAATTGAATTAGCCGAATAAAACATGCCGCGCTCCATAATTAATAAAAACAAGGCTTGATGACAATACAAACAAAACTTTGTATTTCATTTAGAAAATAATGTAAATGGTCTTAACTGAACAATAACAAGCTTTACGCTGCTTTTCAAAAAGCCTGAAATACATTATCAAAAAAAATATACTCGGAAAAAACTTTAAGACATTAAACAAACATTCTCACAAAAAATACATATGAATGGGTGTGTCCATCAGGCTGTACTGTACGGAGAGCAGTAAGAGAACTGAAAATGTGCATTACCACGTAAACTAAGAATGTAAATTTTAAGTGATTTTTTCCAATCAAGTAATCAGGTTCAATCATGTAATCGTGATGATCCTAACGGTATTTCATCTTCCCACTTACATAAATGTAAAAGTATCTTCTCAATATACACAAAACATCCTTTAACGCTCACAGGGCATATTAATTATAGGGATGCACCGTTGTAGGAACCACGGCTCGGTGCAGATACCCAATAGTTCTCATGTACATATCTTCCAATGCTGTAAACATTTAGCTATAAAACGTAAAAAGTGGGATTATATCTACCTGGATTAGTACCAGGTAGAGATATAACATTTACTATTTTACTACATCTTTTAGTACAGTAGCCGTGCAGTAGTAACAGTTTTCCGGGTAGGAATTAAGTCTAGTCTTAGAGGTTGGCAATATGGCAAATATCACAATACTTCAGGAAGTTTTTAATATACAATGTTTTTCTGACGTCTGGTAAGTTAGAATAGACAAAGCAGTGCCACATGTTAAATATATTATTCAAAACTATGATGTTGCTTACTTGTGTTCAACATCTCACACTCTGTGCTGCACTAAATCCAATGAAACAAGACTAATGATGCTCTCTTTGTAATTAAACACACAGTCGGAAGGGATTTTTAAGAAGTCAGAATTTAGAAAAGAATATTTTGACATGCTGCAACGTAATTTATCACAATACCGATAAATATGGTCATATTGCCCAGTTCTATCTTGTCCTGTACTACACTTGGGGCCAGTTCCTCAGATCCACCTTAAGCCTAAGCCTAGACTAAAATGAATGTTCAGTGGTGAGTCACCACTGGAACTGCATTTCAGCCTAGGACTTGACTTAATCCATGCCTGTGAAACCAGCCCTTTATATCTACTCATATCTAGAATATTACTCAAGACTGAACTTAAATTTTAGGGATGAGGATTGTATTGTATTGAACTGTACGGTACTCTATTGAACTAAATCAAATCGTTAGTCTAGGTTTCTTGTACTGTATCAAGCACTATATACTGCATAAAGCTAAAAGAGAACCATGTCCAACACTATTGATGACTTCCTGGCCAAGTGGAGGAGTACTTTTTTGGCTTTTTTGATGGTGCACAAGAGTCTGTTGTACATGACAACCCTTACTATACCGACCTTACTTGTCACTACCTCATGCACTTTGAGTGAAAATCTGTCAGCCATGTCAGTTTAACACCGCTAACACCAGTGGGATCAAGTTATTTCACACAGGAGGAAAGCCTTGCCATTCTGAATATTACAGAAATACACTTAATGTGGTTTGCATGCAAATCCCATAAAGTATGACACCATCAAGCAAATTCTGAGAGCCCTGGGCGCCCAGCTCAGTGAAGGGCTGCTATGCACCAATGTGCAGGCCTTGCCTAGTGTCCATAAATCAACATGAACTAGGAGCAAGCTGCCCAGTGCCTGCAGCAGCACCAGCTGTAGGCAGGCTGCACCCACAAGCATACAAATGTGTATCCCTGCAATAACATCAGAAACCCAGCGAGGTTTTATTTGACATCTCAGTGAGCTCATTACTAAAACTACAACTACACAACTAAAAGACACCAGCATCTGTATGTGGTCACACCACTATATGTGGTGAATGTTAAACAGCGCTTACCTCTCCGTCACTGTTGGCTGTGTGTCGCTCATTGGGCTTCTGTTTTCAGTTTTTATGAGATTTACATCCAACTGGCATGTTTGTAAGTACAGAGGAGAGCGTCAGGACTTGAGCATCAGTTCTTTTGGACAGCTCGTCTCCACACACGGCAGTCTAGACTGTATTTACTAACCGGACCGGACTTATACTGAAACTACTGTACCGTCCTCAACCAACTGACCAAACACTGAAAAAGTAAAACTAGAAAAACTGGACGACGTGAGGAAAATAAGCAGTCTGACGATGTTATCCCGAGTTACACATTTTCCAAAATCCCTGCATGAACAATTAGATGTCTGAGAACGAAACCTAGCACCGAATACAACAAAGAAAATGTACAGTAACAGTAACGTGCATTGATTTACCCAACAGCCGCACTAAAAACTACAAGTAACGTTAGCTTATAAACCTGGATTCAAAACGCGTACCCGAAACACCTCTGAAGTTACTTATATCTGAAACTGTACTGTTTTTTTATTCCTCTAAAGTGGAGAAATAACTTCGAGGAAAAGAAACAAAGTGAGCTAACGTTATTGTTAATCGAGGAACGGATAAAATAGTTAGGTTAACGTTAACTATTCAACTATTTTCCAACTAGCTATGTCAGACGAGCCGTTACAAGAAATTTCCACTAATGTGCAGTTAGCCTGTAGTTTCTCTACAGGTCCACGAACACTCCTCTGCTGACTTTGAAGGGAAAAAAAGCAAAATTTAAAAAGCTTTTTCGAAATTAAACTGTTCCCTCACTCTACTGAGCCCAGCCGTTCACAGAGTAACTGCAGTCTTCATTGTAAATTACGAGGCCTAACAGTGAACCGAGCGACGGTAGCTAACGTTACTGAAGCTAAAGCTAGCTAACTCTGGCTAGCATCCTCACTTGCTAAAGACACTTAGTTACTGCGGAGCCGGGAGATTTTTCCCCTCCAAAAAACGGATAAAAACTGACACCAGTTTTTCAGACGTGTACCAGTCCACGGGTGGAACGATAAAAGGAAGTATCCATGCGGTCTCGCACGTTAGCAGGGTAGTCAGACGGCAGTCTTTAGTGAAGTCCCGGCTGATGCCACCGCAGATTTTCCATCAAGCGCAGCCAAAACTCGACTCAGTTGAAGAGAAGCTGCTCTGCTCGTCCTGAGAGAAAACACAGCGAAAAGCGCGCAGAAACAAACTCCTAACTAACGTAGCGTTTATACGACGAGACGCATCCGCAGTAAGCCGCTTCCAGACACTTTTCTGCTTTCCAGTTAGGATTTCTGTGAGGTCCATACAGTCCGAAGCGTCGTGGGCTCTCCGTCCATGTTTCTCCAGTCCACTCTGATATGAGTCCTGCAGCGGAGTGCGCTTCAGCCCAGACAGCCACAGGCATTCAGCAGATGAACCTCACTGCTTCTCACCAAATCACCAAGCCCGCTGGAATCAAACCTGCTTCAAAAGTTAACCAGGTACATAAATACAGTGCGAGATACCATCAACACATTCGAAAATAAACAAAGTGAATATTAAAACTTAAAAATTAAAAATAGTTCATAAACATCACTGGCTATGCTTTTTAAAACACACGTTGACGAAAAAAATGTTAACTATACTTATATCCAAAAAAACACTCGGTCGTCCTCTATATATTTTACGTTTAAGTAGGTCTACATATATCAAATAACTATACTCGGACTTCTGAAATCGAGTCCATTGATATACCTTGATTGAAGATGCAGTCAGGAATATCTGTGTTAGGTTGCCATCTCATGGGCACCTAAAACACTACAAGCTAAAAGCCCTTGAATTGCTGGCAACACACTGAAGACCTCATGTTTTATCTTTAGAGATGGCTGGATCAGTATTTCTCATCCCTGGTCCTGGATGCCTACTGCCCTGCACTTTTTAGTGTTTTCCCTGCTCCCAACACACCTGATCCAACTCATCAGCTCATAAACAGTCCATTATTGAGATAAAGTGGGTGTGTTAAGGTAAAAGTATTTGTTACTTCATTGAAAGTCCTAGGGTTGCAAATGTAGCCTAGCGGAAGCAATTTGAGAAGAAGTACAAAAGTAAAAGGTTGAAGTGGAGCCTTTTAGTACATGCTGCATCTGTCTGCAGCTGAAGTTTGCTTAAGCCTCATTCTTCTCTTTGCGGTTGTTCTGATATGAAATGAAATGCAAAAACATGAAAATGAGGTCTGAACAACAGCAAAGCAGTCCAGGTGCTCTCACCTCCCGGGCAAAATGAAACCAAGCACAAAGAGAACTAGTAGTAGAAAGCAAGTGGCTAAGATATTTATTTTCCTCACAAATATACTTGAGTAGAAGTAAAAATATAAATTTCCAAATACAAATCCATCACAATTTTGCTTAAGTGTATGTAACTGAATACATCCAGTTACTGCCCACCTCTTAATGTAACGCCCAGACATCTCATTCACAGTTTGAAACTATAATATTAGTATAAAACTAAAATGTTATGCTGCTCCCAGCACCAAAATAAATACACAACAGCATAATCATTTTTGCTTTCATTAGCATTTTTATTAGTTTTAGTCATCTGTTTAAAAAAAAAACTTAAAATGTGTCATATTTTGTGATGACTTTGTAATATTGCACAAGTTAAAAAAGTCTATCAAAACATTTCAGTGTGGCTTAATAACAATTAAGCAATACAAGTACTATGTATTTACCACAAATAAAAGCCAGTGTGTGGCAATGACGTTTACATAGTCATAAAAAATGTTAATCAGGTTAGACAAAATCATGTCTGAGAACAAGTAAACATTTAACAGCTGCAGAGATGTATTCGCTGGTAGGAATGATGTCCAAGTTGAGAAACTGGAGGCAGTCTCTTTAGTTTGAGGAGAGCTCTCTTATTCCCTCTTAATCTCTTGGCCGTTGACATCAGCCTGTACATGACGGCTCTTCCAGCGCTTGTACTTTACGCTGCTTTTATGGTAGGCAAAACGGGTGATGTCGACCACGAATATCCACGACAGAACGTACATGGCTACACCGCCGCACTTGATGAAGAACTTTGGCCTCGGTGAGATCAGCTCACAGTACAGCATGGCGCCACCCACGAACACTCGCATGATCACGAACAAGAGCACAAACAGGACGTCCACCAGGTCACCCAGGAAGGTGTCGTAGCGGCCTGAGTGCTTCAGGAACCAGCGCGTCTGCAGCAGGGGGTTGGTGATCTCGCTGCCGAAGATGACAGCGCACGCCTCGATGCCAGACTCGCCCAGCCACAGGGTCAGCAGCATACCCAGAATGCTCACAGTGTGGTGGGCCAGCATCACCAAGCCCTCCGTCTGAAAGTACACGCACCAGCCCATGTCAAAGATGAAGTAACCCAGACTGAGCACCATAGCTGAGATTTGGAGGGTGGTGTTCTTTGTTCCTGAAAATGAGAAACAAATAAGAGGGAAAAAAGTAATAAGGGTGGACGATATGACAAAATATGACAAAAATACACTATATGTCACTATATTCATCCAATGTTTTTTTTTTTTTAGAAATTAAGGATAAGTTTAGGGGTTTTTGTCCTCTCTTTGCTACAGTAACAGCCTTCAAGTAACAGTAATCCTCTGGGAATGGTTTACACCATGGAACATTGCTGTGAGAATTGGATTGCATTCAACCACAAAAGCTTAAGGGAGATACAGATGTTAGATGATCAGTTCTAGATCACAAACTACAATAAGAGTAAGTAAAGGGAAGTCCCTCCAACTTAGCGGTACCGGATGGAGCTCCATCACTCTAGAAAACAGTTTCACTGCTCCACTGCTCAAAGCTGGGGGCTTTATACCCCTCTAGCAGATGCTTGGCATTGGGAATGGTGATCTTACGCTCATGTGCTGCTGCTCCAGAGTGCCCTGTTCTATTGGTCAATGCTTTTTTTTATGACAATCATTCAAGCTGTGTGCATGCAATTGATCAGCTGTGTCAGTATTTTGAGTGCACCTGAAAGTAGCTGAATTTACTCATTTGAAAGGGTGCCTCAATACTTTTAAACATATAGTGTATAATATCACAACACTTCAAGACATTTTCATGGTACATTGTATGCATATGATCTTTTGTTTTTCTAATGTTTAGTTGGAAAAGACAAAAAAGAACCACTAGTGGCACTTTTTATATCAAACTATCAATACAATTAATTTTGTTTAATGCTTCACATACAGCACTGAACTGAATCCAATTAAACAGGCCTAATTATGCTCTCTTTCACATGGAACATGCAATTGGTCAGTGCTGTTTAAGTACTAAAGATACTCACGGTATGTTCAGAAAAGCACATTGTGACTCAATAAAGACAGATATTAGCAAACTGCTCAATCCTACTCAAAATCACCATTTGTGATTCTTGAAAAAACAGCCCAAGTTTGGGAAAAAATTGCCCAATCCAAGTCCACCACCCTGCAGTGTGTTTCTAATCTAAAGCTAACATCTCTCAGTTAATATCTGACCTCACAAGGATTCTTTACCTTTATTGTAGTGCCCTCCTTTAAAATCAAACCATACTAATATCAATTATCAAATTTCACACAACGGTCACATAATTTATTGAATATTACTGTATATTACTGTACTGAATATATTATTTAAATGATGAGTATATTATTTAAATGATGAGTTATCAGGGTTTTTATAAAAAGACAAAACCATGCCTTTTTAAAGATTTAAAGATTTAAAAATACATGATTAGAAAAAGATAAACAAGAGAGCCTGTTAAAAGCCTTCAAAAATGCTCTGTACGAGACGCACTGTCTTGCTGTAAGAGAGCCCAGTAGGAAATTTAAAATATGCAAATTGATAACTGATCATTGATAGTTCATCAAGAAATCTTATCACCGATTATAACTGATTCTAGTATTTCAAAATCGCCACCTTTGGAGAGACTGTGCGATTAAACTGGTAGATCTGTGACATTTAATATGCCTTACCTAGCTCTTTCTAATGTCACACAATTAGGCTTGAATTTAATCTTAGTAGACTGTACAGGGTTGGGCCGTCTCTGGCTAACACATAAAACAGAGAGATATGATTGTATGCACATCTATTAGATTTTTTTTACCTGGGTAGCTGAAAGGCCAAGGTCCATCTATGTAGCCTATGTAGGCAGTTATGCAGATTGCCAGGATTCCGTGGAACAGTGTAACCAGCCGACAGTTCCATTCATAGCCACAAGAGCCATTTGTGTAGCAGAGCAGAGCATAAAGAGCGATCCACCCGGCTAAGCAAGCACCAACTCCAAGAACCAGCGGTGACATCTTGACGCTGTGGGCTGAAATTTTGATCCATTTTAATGAGCTTTTGGGTGCTCAAATTCAAATAACCAAAAAGCATGGCAATGTTAACTGTGCTAAGTTTAATATTTATGAGAATACTTACTTTAAACCCTCAAAGCTTTCAGTAAATCACCCAAATTCTGCTGTTTTAAGAGAGGGACACTTTGCCTTACTTCTAAAACCACTCCCATGCATGAAGGAACACAACAGGGTTGCACATCATGCATTGAGAAACGATTAAAACCTGGCTCACTTCAGCTCATGTCAAAACTAGACTAAAGGTAACTGTGGCAAGCTCAGAGACAGCAGTGAGTCTCACATAAGAAAAGCGATGTTCCAGTTTGACATGAACCATTTTAAACCCTGTAGGCCAACACTGAGCAGCAGTCCAGCCTATAGCTATCATTACAGGGCAAGAGGCATCTGTGTAGTTATGACAGATATGCTGTAAATATGCATTGTTGAAATTGTGGGAGTGATCAAATGCCAGCCAGACTTCAAAATATGTGAGTACTTTACAAAATATGTCCAGATGGATTCATGTACACAGAAGTGCAACAGATTCAACAGGCTGTTCAGAACAGTATGCAGGGGAGGCGGAGCACCAGAGAACAACAGCCTGAAGTGTTTCAAGTCTGATAACAGTATCTGTCACACCCACTCACATATGTTTGTGTATATAGGCTAGTTCAAGGGTTTGGAATCACAATTCAAAAATGTCAAAAATGTCACTCAAATGTCAACAATGTTTTCAATAAAATCAAATCAAAAATAATATTACAGTTAAATGTATAAACCGATGCTATTATAAAGCTAAATGATTCTGTTATGAAGCTTCCACTGTGCAAGGTTATGGATTAATAATTAACTAATCTGCAGGAAGCTGTAAAAGGTAATGTTAGCTATTTCCAACAACATGAACAGAGCTTTAGAGGACTGCTTGACGATTAAGAAAGCTGTATAACTTTGAAAATGAACTAATACTAAGATTAGTACTAAATTAATATCCAGAATGCCACATGTTGATCAACGCCAGGAAACGTAGCAAGAGATTACTATAAATAGATAATTACAGAATATTAACTATCACTGAAGAGCTTTTGGCTTTCCTTTGAAATGCCTTCTGGTGTCTACACTTAAAATGGTTCGTCAAGGGTTCTTCAGTAAAGGCACTGGTTCTATTTAGAATCATGAGTTCTATATAGAACCATTTCATGCTTAAATGCTTCAATGTTTTGCATGGTGAAATGGTTCACCAGACTGATGGAGGTGTCATACATGGTTCTATATAGAACCTTATTGAAAGTGGTTCTATATAGCACCAAAAGGGTTCTGCTATTGTTACAAGCTTGACATGGTAACAACAGGAGAACCCTTTTTGGTGCTACATAGAACCACTTTTAAAAGGACTTTCTAGCACGCAAAGAACTATTTAAGAACCATTTAGAACTGTTTAGAACCTTTTCTCTTTACGGACCACCTTTTTTAAGAGTGTAGCTTAGAGTTTCTGTCTACACTGTATATGTTAACATAAATTATTAATGATTCCACACGTTTGAACAGTAGTGTGTATGTATTAAGGAGAACTACATATACTGATATTCTCAGGTGGACTGATTTTACTCACTTTTACCTGCTTATATACACATTAAATACGCATATAAACGAAATGTAACTGCGCTAACAGCCGTAGCTAAAACATATTAGCTATTACATGTTATTCTGTATGTATCTGCGCATCTATCAATTAGCTTTAGCCGTTTTAACACGATTTTGGAGCTTATTAGCAGCCTGCTAATTATGTACCAATTATATTCGATACGAAATGAAGAAATTACTGATATATGATGTTCGAATAGAAACGCTCAGAAATGGCGTGTGAAACACTGAAAAATGACCCGTAAATAATCAAACTGTATCAAAGGAAACCCACCCTGGCACCATGAGCTGGCGGTGTTTTTGGAGCCCCTCAGGCCGCCGTGTCCATCAGCGCTCTCGGCCACAGCGCGGCTCCTGCAGCCCGCAGCGCGGCCGCAGCTCCGCCATCACCAGAGACAGCGCGGAGCTCCACAGGCGAACAAAAGCCACATTCGCCTTCTCCACCTACAGCTGCGGCTCAGCGAGGCGGACAACAGACAGGCAAAGATAAGAGCCGGGATAGTGGACTGATCCTAATGGCATCGCGACCCCTAGCGGTGTGGACATGCAAGAGACAAGATGGAGCTCTCTTTGCTGTCCTTGTCGAAATGCCCAGTACTTATTTGAGACGGGCTGTATAATTATCAGAAAAGGTTACCAGCATTAAAAGAATACTATTTTGATAGACTAAATCACTTTATTAGGAATAAGTAGTGATGGTAAGTCGAGTCTGTGCACTGTTAGCCCAAATAAGCTCACATATGGAGCTGCTGTCAGAGCCAGGAGCCAAAGGGAAAGAAGTACACTCTTGAAAATGATGATTCTTTACGGGTTCTTTAGAAAAGAAAATGGTTCTATATAGAACCATGAACACTCAAAGAACCCTTGCATGATTAAAGGGTTCTTAGCACAGTGAAAGAGTTCTTCAAAATTGATGGAGAATGTGCTGTAGATGGTCTTCATAGAACCTTTCTGAAAGGGGTTCTACATAGCACTAAAAGTGTTCTTTTACTGTTCTGTGAGTCAAGCTTGTAACAACAGAAGAATCCTTCTCGGTGCTATATAGAACCGTATACAACACATTCTCCATCAGTCTGACAAACACTCACGGTGCAAACAACACTTTAATCATGCAAAGATGTCGAACCATTTTCTTTACTAAAGAAGAACCATCATTTTTAAATGTGTAAGTTTTCACAAAACAAGACTGTGTTGACATAAACATCACTGTATTTCATTGAAACAATACAGCTTACATAGTTCCATATCATTCCACAAATGTGTTGAGTAACATTGAGAGAAAAACGATTAAAATTAACAGCAGTGCATTTTCTTTTTCTTTTTTTTTTTGGTGGTTTCAAAGCTGCTAATGGCAAAAGACTAAACTAAATTCATCTCAAAAATGCCATTTGAACGTACAAAATTATCAAAATGCTCCCTTAAATTATATACATCTAATATCTCACATATTACTCAACTATTTTATGTTTTATATACAACAGACATTTATTTGAGTTAAAGCAAAATGTGAGATTACAGTGTACTAAATTAACATTAAAAACACAATAAAACATTTGAAACACAAAGTTTCTACGATGTGCGAATGATGTGTACATGCTCAGTAGGACCATTTGAGGGGTAGGACATACTGCTGAAAAAATGTCCAAGCTTTTCCATTTGTAAAAAAAGAAAAACACGCTGACAAAGATAGATATGTATTATCTAGACAAAATATCTTAAGTAATTTTCTCACACAAACCAAAACAACAGCTTTGTCATTTACGGAATATAAATTTTATTTCAAATTATTACTTCACATTCATATTTGTATCCAACATTTTCATAGAAAAATAATTTTGACACTTTATTTCTTTATTTTATGTTTATCCATAAAAGAATCAGTAAACACTGAAGCATTAAGGCACTTAATCTTTTAAGGTCAGTTAAACTTAACTGGGCAGTCAGCTTTCATCACTCCCTCATTTTGTGTGACAGGTTAAAGCGATTCAGACTTTTTTAGTACCATGGACGACTATTTTAACAGTAATACAAGTTACGCTGTGAAGAACTGACAAACTCCTGGGAAGGAAATGCAAAGCTCCTACTCTCAGTAATAATCATGTTGTAAATTTGGTCCTGCTTGATAACGTCAACTTTTTAAGCTTGAGGTACAGTTATTAATTTCATTAGTTCTGATTGGCGGTTTTCAGCTGAAGGGCCCATATATTGGAAACACAGATTTTATAGGGTTAACAATGTTATTAACACTGTTAAAGTCTCAAAATGTTCTGTTCACTTTTCAGTCTTAACAGTCCATACAGTTTATGGAAACTAACCTGCAAAAACAACCCATTCTGAATCACTGTGTTTGTGATGTCACAAAATCTGACGTGTTCACATATAGCCACCCGTTCAGCCTACAACAGTTTATCCTCTCATTAATGCTTAAGTTCTAGAAAGTGTTTCCGCTTGGAGGCACAAAACAGGGCAGCCAATCAGAACAGAGTCCATTTACATACATCAGTCTTAAAGGCACAGTAAGAAAACCATCATGATTAATTCGTAGAGATAAAGAGGTTGGGGAAATTCTCATGTAAAAAATGAATAATGACTGTTTTTGGCTCATAAAAACAACACAAATGTTCTAAAAGGAATTCAGGATAAAATATAAAACACAAGAGAAATGTAGGACATGGGCCCTTTAAACTGTACGGAGTCTGAGTCTTAGCAGTATTTTTCTGTGTAACCAGGAGATGGCAGTGTTGGGTGCAATTTGATAAAGACTTCCAACTGTTGCGGTAATATTGCCGTATTGTTTTACTAAAAACACAGCACTGCAGACATTATTTTGGTTTTTCATAAGGCTTAAAATAGATGCTTACATCCCTGATGGAAAAAAAATCCTTAATCTGTGCTGCTTATATATAAACTACAAAGGCAAAATACTGATGAAATGCCCCTAAAAACTTAACAAAAGGCCCACAGATCTGCAAAGATGGACATATACCATCTGTGACTGTGATGACAAATGCCCTCTGCTCATTGTGAGTGATGGACAGATACTTAACGATCTGATGAAGTGTGAATTTCAGCTGGCACCAAAAACATTAGCAACAAAAATCTCAAAACCTGGGAAAAACCCCAACAAAAATCTCAAAATGGTGTGAATCCATAACATCCACAAAACGTGAGAGCGCTCTCAAGTGTCATCTGATTACAATGTCACAAGGCAACAAAGTGTTCCAACGAAAATAAGAAACGGGTTTCTTTCCAAACATGTGCATTAGTTTCTTCAGTAATTTCCCACAGCAAAACAATAAATAACACCAGGTTCAGAAAAAAAAAAATAGCTCGGCAACCTGACTGAACATGATCCAGCTAATCGGCAGATTCTAGCTTGTTGCATTATTATTGACTGATTCACAGTTATCTCATCCCAGTCTGTTTTGGTCTACAGAACAGTTTGTGTTGGTTCTGTAGATGCTCATCCAGTTCTAATGTGACTCGAAGAGCTAATTAACGGGAAAAGGTCTAAAGATTTCCAGAAAAGCACAACTGTACTGGAGGGACACATGAACGGCACCGTTTGCACAGAGACAAAGCTGCTCCTCATCTTATCTCGAACTCAAGGCATCAGACTTTAGGAGCCACATATAATCTCAGCGGCCCCATCTTAAACGGCCCAGGGCTAAACCGAAATCCAGAGGCCTGATCATAAATAAGAGGATTTCAAGGGAAAGAAATGTTAAAATAAGCATTGTCCTGGCTGTAGATATAGAGCCCATCAATGCTAGGTCTCTTCTTCCCACAGGCAGAGGTGTTTGTGAGGGGTATAGTAGGTGAAGTTGTAGCCTTTGCTGCAGCTTTTAATGCCGCACTTGTAGGGAGTGCCGCGGCCCACGGCGTCGCGGTTACGGCAGTATTTGAGCAGGCAGGGGTACCACTCCAGTCTCAGGCTGTAGCTGCAGGAGCACGGCTGCCACAGATCCTTCACTGAGCGACAGCTCTGCAGGTCAGGAACCTCCACACCCTGCGGCAGGATCTCAAACATGGAGCCCTCCACACCTGCACACAGCAACACCACGCTCAGACACACAGCTCGGACGATTTCTAGCTAAAGCAAAACTTTAAAAAATCAATCATGTCATGACGACGTCTGAAGTTTGCTTCTTATGTTTAGCACCAGAGCTACAAGGTCATGTAGATAACTTAGCAATGAAGGCTATTGGCCACTAATTAGCACTGTGCAAACTGCATACTATACATATGTATTATTACATAGTTGCCTCAAACTGCATCAAGCTGTTTAGTAATCTCACATAGACTTGCTTATGTGGTGTCTAACACTATTTGACATACTGTTATTAGCAATGGGCATTTCAGTCAAATTTCATAAACTGATTCCATATATGAGTATAAAGGCTACAGGATACCGCATAGCAAACACATCAGGCAGATGAAACCCAATGTCCAACTAAAGTGATATTAAGTATCATTATCACTATTACTGTACTCTATGAAACCCAGACTCAGACCACAAATCCATAGTAGGTGACCATTACAGCTGAACAATATGACAGTATTTATCATTATCATGACAACGTACATCACAATATGTCACCATATACTTTTGTGAGCATATTATGGATACTGTCAGTACTTAAAAACCACTTCCTATCTGCATGTTTGATTAAAAGATCATAATTTGTCCTGTTTAATTGGATTTAGTGCAGCAGAGTAAATAAAATGTTGAATACAAGTAATTTGAATGTATAGTTCTTGATAGTGTTTTTAAAATGTGGCACTTTAACTTATCAGACGTCAGAAAACATAACTATCGTGACGTATCAAGTATCATAAAAAAACTTCCTGAAGCATTATGATATTACATTCTGCCATATCGCCCATCTCCAGTTGACGTGGCTTGAAATTTACAATGAGAAAGCCAGCAAGTCTTTAAGTTAAACAGACAAATGCTAAGCCTCTGTATTGGCTCAGCTAATGTTGCTAGGCTTGTCACGTTAAGAATGATTTCATAGCTTTTAGCTCAAAAACATTGTGTTTGTGAAGACTGAGGTAGCTGACACTAATCAAGATTAATTTGATGAATAATGTTGAAAGTTTTAGTCCATTCAATTTATAAGTAGAGTGTAAAATGAACTAGATTATTATCAGAGCTTTGTACTATCTACTACGCAGCACGATGCTTCTCATCTGGTGTGCAGTAGCCTGTAAATGGCTACAGTAGTCTTTCTATGCTTCCTTCGCTGGACTAAATATATTAACTAGTTAAGTGGTGTCGACTTCAAAAGACTTAATTTATGGACTCAAATGAGTCTGAAAGTCGACTCTTGGCTACTTGGAGGGTCTACTTGAAGTGGACTCTTCAGACATAATGTTGTGATTGGCTCATGAAAGTAACTGGTATCCCTGAGGTCTATTATTTACCAGTGAAGCCTGGATGTTTTCACAGCATGTGGAATGCAGGAAACATCTTGGGGTTGCATAATATTTCTTTGTTTAATTTTCAGACTTGGTGAGCATGTAAGAGCACTACCCTGCTAGCTTAATCGAGTCCTTCTATCTATTTCATGCCAAAACTGCTCACTGGCCACTGTAAACACAAACACTGATCACAAAATACCTTTGAGATGTCTGCACTTCACCTTAGGCATCTGCCTGTGCAGCTCTTGCTATGAAAAACTAAGCTCTTCATAAATAATCTTCATAGTAGGGCTGCTATAAGCAGGAATTAGAAACACATTTTTTAAAAAGAACATTGCTTAAGCCAGTAAACATGGTTAACAGGTAAGTAATGCTATTATTTTTTGTGTGTGTTTAATGATTTAGGCTAGATTTCATCAGAGGCAGACCCAGTGGAAGTTGAATAAGTTTGTGTTAGTGCACAGTAATGTTGGTCTGTCACCCAGAAGCTCTTCTTAAGCTCACAGTGATCGCATCAATGTGATCTATGAGCCCTCTAAAAAGTAAGTAAACTACATGTAGGATGCTTCATTTCCACTACATCCTTGTATCCATGGATCTCCTGCTGTGTAGTTTCAAATGAACTAACCAGATTTGGGTGTGTTGCTAATTAGAACCTCTGAGTGGCTCTACAGTGCCCTCTGGTGGAGTAGAGACTTGAGATATCTCCTGGTTCTTAAATATGGGAACATACAAAAATTCTGATTCTCTATTTGAGCTGTTACCTATAAAAACTGACAAAGTACATAAAAAAACAGGATTCAACATGGCGGCTGTGACTATTTTTACCTATATTACATAGTGAACATAGTGATATTTGCTATGTGTACAGGCCAAATTTGTGGGACATAACCTACCATCAAAATTGAAGAAGTAAACTTAAACTTTACCTTTCGGAGAAACTACACCTTTAATCAACGGCGGATTTTCTTTCAAAGTGCTTACTTTGCACTGTAGGCAAAACAATGCTATAAAACCAGTCTGCCAGATATATGAATGTTTGTGCACTTGTGCATTTGCTATATGTAGTAATGACTGTAATACTGACTCTGTGGAACGGAAATGACTGGGCCTGCACTATACTTAAGACATAAATGGCAGTAGGTTGGTGCTGTATTAGAGTGTGCTGGTTTGGGCAGGGTGTAATTAGAGGTTGCTTGCCTGTGTCCAGCCAATGGCGCACATCAGCCTCACGCGTGTACACAGCTTCGTGGGCCATGCTGCACGTGTTGTAGAGGTGGGTGCTCAGCTGCCACGCCCGTGTCAAGTTCACAGCCACGTTCATGCTCACCGCCTCTGTCGCCCTCTTTTCCTCCGCCGCTCGGATGGTGTGCGGGTTTTTCTGTATGCAGAACCCAAAGAAACATTAGATCAATCAGAGCATGCTGACCAGCATGAGCCAGCACTTGAGTCAGACGGAGTTTGATACAAGTGTGTGATGATTTAGCCATGCAGGTTACACAGTGCTAACTGGTGGGTTGTAAACTTGCATTACTTGTTAGTTAGTCTCAGTCTAAAACGCTCTGTGATAGCTACAACATGTTAAGCTGGCCACAACTATCTGGACTTTGCGTGTGTACGCAATTCCGTGTCTGTGATCAATCTGTCTGATTAGAAGCAAACTTCTGGTGCGGTTGCCCACTCTGCACATTAGCCAAATATTTTGGAGGAAGATATAGTCGCTGGATTGAAAAAATGTTTGTAAATTTCATGTCATCATGTCTTTAAAAGCTATTCAATAGTTTTCTTTAAAGAATTTAGTAGCAAGTAAATGAAATACCCACCACAGCATCAGGTTTCAGACTGAATTACTTTGGTCTTGTGAAAGAACACAAGTTAAATGTGTCTCAGCTCTTGTTCATCAGGCAAAACAGGTCATTCTAAATGGCCTCAGGCAAAATTAGATTCAGAGAAAAAGGGAAAGGGCTAAGTGACTGCAAACTTATAGATGGTAAAATCCATGTTACATTCACAATTCGGTTCTTTCTTACTAGATTAATTAGTTTCATAGCCAAATTAAAAAGGACAGTATACTACAACCACAAATTTTACTGAACTGCACTTTCATATGTTCTATAATATGACAAATATTAATATTCAACTTACATGCTACCACTGTATTTCTGTATCTTCCACACGGTTACATAGTTAGAAGACTGTTACCAGCATAGGCCTATGCAGAAGTCTTTTCATTTTAAAAGCCCAGTTAGAATTTGCCTTCCCTTACTAGGGCTGAATGATTGTTTTTAAATCAATATAGCAAATTTGAAAGAGTGCAATTAAAGAGTGTATTAATTAGCAAGGAATGCAATTTTATGTCTATTCATTGTACTTTGTACATGTATTTGTACTTTATTTCTTTGGGGAAATTTAACCTAAAACAAATATTTACTTTTCCCTGAGAAAAAATCATTTAAGGTACACAGTTGGACCTTAAAACCACTGTTACACCTTTAAGGGGACACTTACATCATTTGTACCTTCATGAACAAAAAATGTACCTGCACATTATATTATCTGACAGTGTAATTAAAATCTCCTAAATAATCACATTTATATCACAATCTCAATATTGGTCAGAAAAATCACAAATTAGATATTTTCCCCAAATCATTCGGCCCTAACCCCTACACCCTAAACCCATAGTCCCACCAAAACAACAGTCTGTAGCTGGTTATTTTGCATATCAGTCAAATTACACTTTCTGGTCAAATTAGATGGTTCTCGGCCACATTAAAGTGACTAACAGGCTCTCTGATGAAAGACAGAAGCCTGGCTTGTGAAACTGCTTGTTAGCTACATTAGCTTCATGGCTCCCCTGCAAAACAGGAAGCAACCTTCTCGAAATATGTCTTGGCTGATCTATTATACTAGGCCAAGGAGAAAACTGTGAACATATTGATTTGAATATGAACCAACCTATGACTTTAATCCAGAGGTCCATTGCTCACTCCTATAACTAATAATTACAGAATTATTTTACATTGTTTTCCATGTAGGTACTTAAAAATAAGCTTTAGCATGTGGATGTCTGTGAAGTTTAAGGAGTTAAGCTGTGGCCGTTCATTACAACTTGTCTCTACAACCTGCCAACCTGGCACCCTGCTGGCCTTTCTCTCCGTCTGTGGAGGACTCTAGAGAAGGGGACTGACCTGTCGGAGTCTGGCCATGGATTCGCTGGGGATGATCTCATTGTGGTTGAGGCGAGTGATGAAGCACAGGGCCTGGTATTGACTCTGTCCTCTTTCCAGTTCACCCAGGATTAATGCCCGGAATATCTTCACATCCTGCACAACACAGAGAGACAGTTTTACTCCATTTACCTCAGTACTGTCAGCCACAGTCCCAGTCAAAAAAAGAGGATACACCAACTCATAGAACAGTTTTTCTTATATTAATTAATTTCCTCATTTTACAGTAATATTGAAAACATCAAAACTATAACATAACACATGCAATTATACAATGGATACATTTTGTTTAGTGTTAAATTTTACTTTGGACTCTTTAAAAAAGCCCCCCCACTTTGTATTCATGCAGCTTCATAGATTTTTTTTTTCTCTCAAGCAGTTTCATGAGGAGCCATCTGGGACGCCTTTTCAACAAGCTTGAAGACATATGCTGAAAACTTACTGGCTGCTGAAACCAACAAGATACAGAGAAAATGCGACTCTTAACAACCATGCAACACCTACAAGACCTCCAAAACTGTCACTATCAGATAAACAGTACTTAAAGCTTTCATCTTTGAGAGAGAGGAGAAGATCAAGCTCCACTCTTGCTTCAGATCTGAAAAAATCTACAAGTGTTTACGTGCATCCATCCACTGTGAGAAGACAACTCAACACAATAAGTCTGAAAGGATGTGTAGAGGCCCTTACTGAGAAAACGAAATAGAGACAAAAAACAAAGAAGCTGCTGGTGTTCTCAGAACAATGGACTGACCACCCCAGAGTCCAGACATCAACATCACTGAATGTGTTTGGGATTATTTGGATCATGAGAAGCAGAAAAATGTAACCTCTAAGACTAAACTTTGAAGGTGTGGAAGAATATCCCTGCAAATTTCTTTGAAAAATTAAAAAAGCAAGTCTCCTGAAAAGAGTGGAAGCTGTAAAAGCAAAGTGTGGATATATTCGATGAAAAATATGACATATTTAGTTGTTGAGGCCTGGGTGTAATTTTCTGTTACATATATTTTCTGTACAGCCTTACCCATACACAATATACAACATGTATGGCCTCATGGCTAAAAGTTCTTGGCTATTTGTGAGGCCACTGGTGGGCTTATTTTCGACTCCCCTGGCAGTTAAAATTCCAGCTCTGCTGTTAAATAAAAAGACTGCAGTCAGATCGTGAATTAAAGATTTTGTAGCGCTCTGAGCCAGGACAATGCAGAGACACTGTATATTTGAAATTACTGGGTTGCCATCGGCAACAGGACCGGAACCCTGGCAGCGCTCCCACATCTAAAAAGAGTTCCATGTGAGGGCATGATGGGAATCCCTGGAGACAAGATTGAGACCACAGACCTGTATCCATTCATCAGATCACTCACTCCCTGATGGGCTCTGCATGTTGTTAGGAAACACACACACGTTCGGCAAAAGCAGCCCAGCTTCAAGGGCCTCTGCTCTTCTAGGATGATCAAAATAAACAGAGACAAACTGTCTTTGTTTGCTCTGCTGTGCTCTCATCTCCAACTTTCCATCTGTTTTCAAGAACTGCTCAGTGTCAATGCAAGAACAGAAAGGCACACGCTCACTTTAGCTGTGACACACAGGTCACCAAGACCTCCTCAGCCACTCCGCTGCTCCATAATGAAAGAGTCATGGATTTGTACTGCCTAAGCATAAATAACATATTTACAAAGCAACACTTTTAATATTTCTAAATAGCTTATGCTGTAAGATAACTTAAGATGTTTTATTCTAGAGGCGTAGTCACGCATATATACATAAAAGATGGGTAAACTGTGGCTACGAAGAGATGCACATGGTCAATACTCAAAAAGGCTGTGGCATTCCAGCAATGATTAATTGGTATTAACGGGCCCAAAGTGTGCCAAGACAACATTCCCCACACCATTACACCACCTCCACTAACCTGGATTGTTGATACAAGCTAGGTTGGGTTCATGGATTCATGCTTTTGGTGCCAAATTCTGACCCTAACATCTGTGTGTCTCAGCAGAAATTGAGATTTATCAGACCAGCCTACGTTTTTCCAGTTTTCAGCTGTCCAGTTTTGGTGAGCCTGTACCCACTGCAGCCTCAGCTTTACAATTTGGCTGAAAGGGTCTTCTGCTGTTGTAGCCCATCCACCTCAAGGTTTGATGTGTTGTGCATTCTGAGATGCTTTTCTGCGATGGATTCTGCTCACCTAAATTGTACAGAATTAGCCTAGTCATTCTGTCAGCTCGAACCAGTCTGGCCATTCTCTCTCTCATCAACAAGGTGTTTCAGTCTGCAGATCTGCCATTCACTGGATGTTTTTTTCTATACTGCACCATTCTAATGAAAACTCTACAGACTGGTGTGTGTGAAAATCCCAGCAGAGCAGTAGTTATAGAAATAACCAAACCAGTCCCGTCTAGCACCAACAATCATACCATGGTCAAAATCACTGAGATCACATTTCACATTACATAGAAATACAGGCATTCATAAAATGCTCAATAAGTGTATATATATCCTCAAAAATCCTGTATTTGAGTAGATGTTCTGTATCTGTATTTCTTCTAGAGTGTAAAAGTACTTACTTTTAAATGTATTTGAATACCAAAAGTAAAAGTACTTTCAGTTATCATATACATACTAAGTACCTTTTTGATGAACAGCATCTTTTAGGGAAAACTGTGTGACTTGTGTGTATAGACATGAAAAAGAGTTAGTTGTTCATGCCTGCAGCCACATAGTCTCCTTAATAGAAGCTGTACTTTCATACTTAAGTAAAAATATACAGAACTGATATACTGTGTTCTTAACTAGGTCTCTGCCTTAAAAGGTGCATTATGTGGGAGTGATTAGTTTAGGGCCCCTTATGTCAATACAATGTAATTTACTGCATAAATCTTATGCTCTTTTGTGATTAATTAATTAATCTGTTCATAAATATTCCTATATTGCTTTACAAAGACTGAGATTTTGTGACAGTTTAAATACCTCCACACTTCACTTTGTTTCACCACCATTCTTCACAGCAGAGCTATGTCCTAAACCTGGAGATTTCATTTCGGCCCTGAGGGGGACGGTGTTCAGCCGAGTCTGGTGTTTTCCCTGCTCTAACACACCAACAAAACCCAACAATTAACAGAGGGAATTGATTCAGGCGTGACCAGGAAAGTCACCTAACTAGGACTCTGGCTTCCCAAGAGTGGGATTGAATACCCTGGTCTTAAACTATGCCCTGTTTACTGTGTAGTGCAGTATTTTTTGAGTCTACCATTTTGTAGCGGTGTCCAAAAAACAGCAGACTCTATTAAGGGCACTCATAACATGTTTCACTGCAACAAACAGTGGACAAATGATGTACCCTCACAAACGTAGGATAGCCATAATGCTGTTGTAAAATGTTGTTTGGTTTGTCATGATGTTTTGCATGATTCGGTAAATGACTACTCTATCAGATTGATGAACAAAGCCATTTAAGACAAATTCTGTTTGCTGTAATAAGTTTATATAATGCTGCATGTAGGGACTAGTCATTACAGTAGCTTTCTGAATGCAAGGTTTCAATCCACTTTGCACTGAATGTCAGTTAAAGCCGTAATGTCGTAGGTTTCTTTCCCAATCTGGATATGCAGATGGTTGGATGTGATGGATCTTCACAATAGGAGGAGAAGCACAGGCTCGTAAAGGGACAGGAGAGGCCAACCTGGAGGACTCCTGGCCCAGACGACGGAACACCAACGGAACACAAGAGGGGAGTGCAGCCAGCTGTTATTTCAGTAAGACCTCCCAGCCAGCAGAGGGAAAGAGGGGCAAGGAGAGGGGGAGGGGGAGCACTACAGGACCAAATAATTACAGGGAAGCATCAGCAGTGCACTAGTGGAACCTCCTCACTGACAGGAGGGAGAAACCCAGGAGCAGATTGAGGGCATGCACCGGGTATTACTTACCTGTGCCCAGTGACATCATATGGGCCTGTCTTTAAAGCCTCTTGTATGCTGTTTCACCAGTGGTTATCCAGATTGAAGGGGAATTCCACCAGTTTTTCAAAATGTATGCACAATTAAATAGTTAGTAAACAAAGTCATTCCAAGTGGTTTGGTGTAAAATATATTCTAGAGAAACTTACTGTGTCAGAATTGTTCACCTCAGAACACACGTGTAGGTTCACTGGTCAATTTGCATAGCAAATGAAATGGCTATATTTATGCTGAAGACATAGTGACCCTTGGATCCTATTACTGTCACTGTAAAGAAATCTGATTTGGTAAGTTTCTCTGTAACTAACAATTAACAATTTCAAATCAAACCACTCTGAATGACTTTGTTTACGTCTCAACAATCAAAATTCCCCTTTAAGCTCTTATCAGAGGTTCCATCTTTGATTCCCATTATGCAAAAAAGCCTTATCTTCATTGCTTGGAAATGTCCTTCGTCCTTATCTGGAGTGTGTATCCTCTTTTTGTGTGTGGTTATGCGTGTGTTGCCACAGCTCTTGCAGCCCCCTGAGCTCCTCCTTCAATCCTCTGGTTGACCCTTCTCCATGTGGGAACATGTCTGAGTCAGGACAGTGAATAAACAGCGCAGTCTGGTGGGTCTTCGGCTTAACCTCACACATGCACACATGCACTCACAGCATAGTAAATACTGCTTCTACAGACACACCCTCAAATCCTCCTTCCTAAAGCAGCTCAGGCAAACACAGAGGAGCCAGTCATGAGACTAAACACAAATGGTGACGCACACAGTGTTTATTTTGACAGTATTAGTTGGATGGGTGTCATCTCAGAAAACAAAGCAAACATCAGGGGTCTGCTCCTCTGCCTACTGCCCATGGAGTGTTTGTTTGGAATTAGCCAGCGTCTGTCAGCACAGTGCCAGCTACCGCTAGAGCTTGGCACGTCTCAACCAACCAGCTTCAAATGATCCTTATACCACACACACCACACACATACACCCTCTCCACCAGAAATAAAACTGTCATCTATTATCAAGTACAAAGAGGCAGATCAGCAGAGTAAAGCCCAACAACAGGGTACCATTCTGAAGAACAGATCTGTCCAATTCAATGATATTATCACCATGATTTCATGGTTCTGAGCACTGCAAGGTTTCAA